GGCAAAATCGGGTTATATGCGGGGTGTGAAGAGAATGCCAGTCGAAGTCCATCCGATTCCTACAGCCATTGACTCCGGTCTTTTGTTCCACGAGCTATTCATTTCAGGAGAAATGCACTAATTTGAAATGCTGTATCTTTGTATCTATATAAATAGTAGGGATCAACGGGAATACTCCCCTTATTTGAAGATTAAATAGGCCTCAGTTCACAACTATCAGTTTGATAATGTATTGAGAACATATGAATTGCAAGCCTAGAAGATTCCCACTTATTTACTTGGTTGAACATATAACTAAAGATGCAAGGGTCATATATGTGCCTATGTGGTAACAATGCCCAGAAAAAAGCCTTGGGCACTTGAGTAAAATCAGGCAAACAGGTTTCTTTACAGAGTTATGAAACAAGATGAAGTGAAACAAGAAGGCGCGGAATTTACAGAGCTTAAATAATTGCGTATTCATGTATTACAAACAAATTCCATACTAAATGAACGGATAAATCGCGACAAATTTGCAGTAATTTGTTGAAACTCATGTTGTTTATAAGGAGAGCATACCACTGCTCCGGAAACGCACGGATCTGATTGACAGTATATCGGATAATTAGCAACGAGAATACTATGCAGTACAGTAGGTGCTAAATACTTGCGAGTGGCGAGATGACGTCGCAAATCCAACTGGTATGGCCAAATTGGGCCAAATATATGGGCAAAAACCGGGGGCTGGGCCTCTGGGCAGCATGTGGGTTTGTTTTGCTTCGCGCTGCTTTGCCCTGGCTTGCATAACATTTCGCGCACAATGATAATGAAAATTATAATAATAATAAGCCAAATCCAGCCTGCCAACGGCCAGCGGCCAACGGCCAGAATCGCACTTGGGGGCTTTGTAATTTTATGGTAATTAGCAGAGCATTTCGCTTCGCAATTGTCAAGATCAAGGACGCAGTGGGCGAGCGCCCAGGGCCAACGAGTATCCGACGGAACCGAAAGGTGGCCCCGGGTAGGCCCCAGTCCACATCCGATTATGGTCATAAGCTGCGCAGGTCGGCCAACGAATGAATTCAGGTAGCGCTGGTCAGCCGAGTGGCTTGGGAATTTCTCTGGGAGCAGACAACTTGATCCACTCGGGCGCTACACTGCAAGAAACTCATTAAAAAAAATCAGTTTAGTTTTCAGTTGTGATATTAAACACAAGTTTAAGTACTGTACCATAGATATTGGCCAGACAAATAATGAAGCTAAAACAAAACCGAAACACGCAATTATTGCCAACATGTTGGTTTTTATACGGACAGTCATACGGACGGACATGGTCGAAGGCACTACCAACTAGCGATTCCAATCAAGAATCTAACCCTTGGCAGGCTTAGAATCTAGTAACTTAGTGACCTTAACTTTAAAAGGTCATGTCACAAATATTATCTTCGCCAGGCATTTGCTTAAAAGTATGTCGCTCAAAAGCAACTCAAAATTTCAGTTGCTGCCCAAAAGTTGGCGTTAGTAAATTGCAGTTCTCCGCTAGTTGCTCATTTGGGATTCGAGTCAAGTCCTTTCCGATTTCCGCATCTTAACTGGCGCCCTATATACATTTTTTGATTTTACTTAAATCCCTTTCTGTGTTGCCTTTACTCCGGCCGTCGCTTGCGTGCAATTCCCATTGAAATACAATATTTATTTGCATTTCCAATTAGCAACTGACTTGGAAACAATAATTGCAAACGAACAGTCCACGGGGAGTGGAAGGAGCTCGGATTCCCTGCTCACGCCCCAAGGACTCGGGATTCTTTTCCATTCATGTTCCTGAGGAGCAGATGCAGATGCAGATGCAATTCCTTTTGGGCGTGTTGCAGACTATCTGAAAACATTCACGGACCTTTGCCTTATTCCTGATTCCTTATTCCGTCCAGGAATACAGATTAAATGCTTTCATTTATTTCCGCAGTGCTCTACCACACAGATATTTTGGGATAAATTTAACGAAATGTAGTAACACATTGATTTAATGTCAGCGACGACAATTTCCCACTTTCGTTGTCAGACATTTTGCAATCGATTTTCAAAAGAAAGTCCAGATTTCATTACACCACATTTTCTTGGTGGTACTTCTGGCAAATTATGTCAAAAGCAAATGTAAGGGAAAGGGCCTGATAATGGCGAAACTTTTGCCATCGGAACGGAAAACAACGCAAACTAATTTCTTGACTTGCTCACCGCACCACCATCATCATCATCGTCATCATCATCATCGTCATCGTCTTGAACGACAAGGAACAACAATTGGCGGAAAAATAAAAGAAAATATGGGTAAAAACCAAAAATATGCGCATAAATGAGCGCCGGCTATTTGAATATGATTTTCTATTTGCCGCCTTTGAGTGCCTGGCCCCCAATTATTGGCTCCACTGGATGTATTTCCCCGATTCGACCGGAACATAGGTCATATGACCCGGCATAAATCAAAAATGGGGCAGCAACAGCGGATGTTGACAGGTGCCACAACCCCATTCGATGGCGAATGGAGAAAGGTGAAAGGTGAAAGGGCGCCTAGAAAAAAAGTCTTTCGTCGGCTGCGTGAACTTGGCAATACACTGGGTTCCCAGATTTCCCCGTACGCCTCAATAAAGCTTTAAGAAAAAAAAACTGCAGTATCGTAAGAAAAGGGTCCCTTAAAAAGAATCATTGTCCCATCAACCCAACAAAGAATGGACTTAAAAGTTTAGTGCTGATAGTCTGAAATGCAGTGGAATGAATCCATCGCCATGACGAATTCAAAATATACTGCTGCATAGCTTCAGACAGCTTTGTGGGTTCTTAGGCGATTCTAGCTAATCTGTTCTCCCCACTCCGCAGAGGAGCAGTGCCATCCCAGTCCCTGCGGCGTGAACACCAAGTGCGAGATCATCAACGGCGTGCCCACCTGCTCCTGCGTCCACGGCTACGTGGGCAATCCGCTGAGCGGATGTCGCCACGAGTGCGACCACGATGGCGACTGCAACAGCCGGGACATGTGCTCCAGCAACTTCAAGTGCGTGCCGGCCTGCGGGCAGTGCGGCACTGGCGCCACCTGCCGCACGGTCAGCAATCACCGGGCGGTCTGCGAGTGTCCCAAGGGCTACATAGGCAGTCCGTACACGGAGTGCCGCCCGGAGTGCTACGGAGACGTCGACTGCCCGGCCGGGCGACCCGCCTGCTTCTACGGCATCTGCAAGAACACCTGCGAGGGAGCCTGCGGCATCGGCGCCGACTGCAACCTGCGCGGGCTCACCCCCGTCTGCAGCTGCCCCCGTGACATGACCGGCGACCCCTTCGTCCGCTGCCGACCCTTCACCAAGGAGGACCTCTGCGACCCCAATCCGTGCGGCACCAACGCCATCTGCGTGCCCGGACACGACAACACCGGCCGCGAGCGGCCAGTCTGCAACTGCCTGCCCGGCCACACCGGCAATCCGCTGAGCCACTGCACCCGGGTGAGTCACTGGGCAAATGGGCATCGTAGGTTGGGCAACAGCTGTGTAGTCTGCGAAGCCGGTGCTCCCAACACGGATCACTGTTTCCAGTCTTTATGAAACTAAGAAAAGAGGCTACAAGCTAGTGACGAACGCGCCTTAATAGAAATTTAATAGAAATAGCACAGTAAAAATTGCCATAGTAATTTCTTGACAAAAGTACGCCAACATAGTGGGGCACCAGCATACTAACTTATTTACCCACGTCCACAGGGTGAGTGCCTGAGCAACAACGAGTGTCCCGACCACCGCGCCTGCATCAACTACCAGTGCATCGATCCCTGCATCGGCAAGTGTGCCACTGGAGCCAGCTGCGAGCCCAAGGCCCACCTAGCTGTCTGCCGCTGTCCACAGGGACAGTCGGGCGACGCCCTGGTCTCCTGCCGCCAGACGCGCACCTTCCCCGTGGCCAAGTACCACTGAGGCGGGATGGGGGACTCCCCATCGTTCCCGGAGCCGCACTGCCTGCCACGCCAGTCCCCTTCCGCCCTTATCGCAATCCGCACCAGTCTATCCGCCTACTTCCCGTACTAGTCGTTGCCCTAACCTCGTGCTCTCCCTAATCGAAGCGAACGGAAATGCGTTGAAAACCAATAAATAATACACGTAAATAATAATAACCAATGTGCCATTTTACTGGGGTCCAATCTAATAACTACTATTGCTTCAGCGAAATTGCTTCCACAACAAGAAACTGGAGAACTTAAGCACACTGTTTTAAAATAAAGTTAATAGTTATAAGATATAAGGTTCATACAATAATTATATTGCAGGTCGTATTCTAAACCTAAAAATCTTAACAGCTGAACAGAAGAACACCAAACATTTTAGAAAATCCAATTGTCTTCTTTATTTTGATCGATAAATATATACATGTATATAAATATATAGTTTCCTTTTGGTTGGTATGAAATATAGGTTTTATATTCGTGCATAGTCTTTTACTATGAGTTTGCCGCACTTTCTGAAAGCTTGTTGCAACTTAACCCATAACTAGGTAATTATTTTTGGTATTCAAACGCAATTACATAGTCGTTGAATTTCTGGGTATAGCTTAAGCTGCCTAAACAAATACATATAAATATACTCGGAGTTAGTAAATGCCTCGAACCGAAAGACTGCTTCATTGTGGAAAGTATAGCCTTTAAAATAAAGCTGTAATCAAAAAATCGAACAAAACTGAACAAAAAATAACGCTTTATAAGAAAATGTTTGATAGTGTCAAAAAGCGATCATTTATATATGTATATGGTTCTTAAGAAGTGTACCCATATGTACATTCTGAATCAGAAAAGATCTTCCACATGAAATCCAGCTGAGATGCAGGTCCATTATATATAAGTACCAATCTCACAAAATAGTTGTGTTTATAAATTCCCACACTCTCCTGGTGCGCTTCGTTACTACGTTTTTCAAAGTATCCCCGGAATGTATGCCGCAAAGAAGTTAGGTGCCAGAAATGCCTAAGGACTTAAATGAAGTTTAAGCAATGGATTCAACACACAACACACTGATTTCAATGCTTATCGCGTTTTGAAATCGTGTTTTTGTAAAGATCTATCTTTATTCTTTCTGATGGTACATAATATCGGAGAATGGGATTATTGGCTCCTATAGAACTATTTTTCTTCAGAAACGTTAATTGGAAGTAATATTAACTGACAGTTTCAGGTTTTTCATTGTAAGCAAACGAGCCCAAATTAAATGAAAACAGTCCATGAAGTTGTTTAGTTTTTCCAGTTACTGCTAACACGGAATGGCGCTGGTATCAAATGAAATCTTATCAAGTATGTTAGTTTCCGGGAGCAACACAATGTTTAATAGCATTACTCCGCACAAATTAAATTGAGATTCTTTCTCGGTTGATGGGTGGGAAAAACATGTGTTTTAAGATTCATAGCTTCCGTTTTCGAGTTTAAAACTATGGGAGTATGAAGTGAAGAGTCGCGATCGGAAGCCAATAATTTGATGTGTTATCGCCCTACATATATTTCTATATTTATATAAATGTGTTTTGTATCTTAGCTATTGAGGCGCTTTCGTGCTAGTGCCTGTTCCTGCGGTCGCTCAAGTTATTGTAAATACAATTCTCCGTTTGAAATATAAATATATTCTTGTATATAAATATGCGATTTGTTTCAATTTTGTTTATGTATATATATTAATATGTATATAAATTGCTAAATACATTTAATTGCGCTTTACACTTTTACACTTTAATTTACGGCTATCTGGCATTATTCCGAATAAAACTCAGGAGGAAAAAAACAAAACAAAAAAAATAGTTGTCTCTAGTGGGTGTGAGTGTTGTTGTCTTGTGTTGTTTGTGGTTTCTGGTTTCTGGTCTCTTGTTGTTGGTTGTTTGGTGCTGTTAGCTATGTCTATGTGAGTGAGTGTGTGTGCCGCATCGTACGCCAAGAACCCTACAAACTACGCGCCCCCACAACGATTTCGTCCGCCCCCAGAGTTGATCCAGGTCCTGGTCCAAATTCCGGCTCCAATTCCCGTCCCGCCGCCGCCGCCGTCGCCGTCGGTCCAGTTGCAATGCCAGCTCCCATGCCGGAGCCGCTTTCACCTACAGCACTTCCCACCCTTGCTGCCCTTGGGATTGGGCTTCAGGTGGAGCGTGTCCTTCTGCTGCTCGTTGGGGGAGGTGCGCAGCTTGTGGTCGAGCACCTGCCGCGTGATCGACAAGAACATGTTCTCCACGTTTATGTTGTCTTTGGCAGATGTCTCGAACAGCTCGATGTCCATTTGTTTCGCGAACCGCTGCGCGTCCTCGGTAATGACCACCTTCCTGTCCGGATCGTCGTTCTTGTTGCCCACTGTTGAGGAATTCAAACATGAGTATACATATATCGCTAGTGGAAGTTGGCTACTAATTAAAGTCCTTGGCATAGCCAACAACTTGTTCTTACGTCGGTTGACCCGACCAAATCTATCTTTGGTTGCGCCCAGACTACGCGTGCAATTGTACTGGCTCACCTAATACTTTTTTGACCACGTCGCAGTTGTTCTGTATCTCCTCCAGCCAGCGGCGGACGTTCGCGAAGGAGTCACCGTTCGTGACGTCGTAGACGACGATGACGCCGTGGGTGCCGCGGTAGTAGGTGCTGGTGATCGTCCGGAAGCGCTCCTGTCCGGCCGTGTCCCAGATCTGCAGCTTCACGCGCATGCCCTCGATGTCCACGGTGCGGATCTTAAAGTCCACGCCGATGGTGGTGATGTAACTGCCCGAGAATGTGTCGTCCGAGAACCGGATGAGCAGCGACGACTTGCCCACGCCTGCAGGGGATCAGATGGAAAGATGGAACGGGATTCGGATTACCACTATGCGATATGGTTACTATACACAAGTGGCCAATTTGGCATGTGACATTGCTGGGCAGGGAGTGTTTCCCTGCTCCGGTTACCGCCTCAGCTGGACTGCTCGCATATCAATCTGTATGTAAATCCTGCCAGTGCGTCACCATTAGTCATGAGCCAGGTTTTATCCGCATCTCTGACGATCCGCGGACCAGACTACTTTTCATTTGGCACAAGCTTGCAATACACTCAAATGAATAGTTAGCTGTTAGGATCGATGTTTCTTATTACAAAGGACTGATACAGTGCTCTTGATTGCGGTTAAGATTAAAGATATACAGTTAGTACAACGTAACACATGTTGAGTATGCCTGTGCCATAGAAACAAGAAGCTGACGAATGTTGAAAGTATTATGGAAACTGAAAACAACATTACTCATACGCCATGTTGGCGTGAACATTTCAAATGTAACATAAATGGTAATTAGATGCAATAATGCCAAACGGCGGTGGAGAGAACTGCACTTTTGGCCAGGAATCGGGGACAGAACGAAATTTACACCTGCTATTTTCAACGCAATGCTATTTTTAAGCACCTGATCTGTGGGAAACGGGAAAGCCTGGGAAACTCACCGCTATCGCCGATTATTAGCAACTTGAAGAGATGATCGAAGCCGCGTGCCATTTTTCGTTGGTTGCTTTTCCCCCGTTTCTCTGTGTTTTTCCTTGTTTTTGCAAGTGCTTTTATATTTACAGTTAGGCGCGTCGAACAATGCAAAATATACTTTGTTTTCTTTTTTCTGCTGCCTGCTCCCACACTCGCACACACACACAGCAGCACACTCCCTGCGCTCTCTCTCTCTCTCTTTCTTTCGCTCTCGGGAGCGCCCTTTCTCTTTCGCCCCAACTACTGCTCTCTCGCTCGCACTGGTGCTGCCGGCTGAATATCTGAGATAAACTGTTGTTCTTTCTGTCTGCTGGTCAGTTGCTATTGTTGTTGTTGCTGCTGCTGATGATGATGATGTTTTTGTTGCTGTGTGATAAGCTATTGTTATTAGTGTTGTTGCTCTGCGATTTAATTTATGTGTGTGTTGTTGCCGCCGCCTTGTTATTTAATTCCGTTTGATTAGGTGTTTCTATTTTTTCGGCTCCACTAGTGCAGTTGTGGCTGTAGCCTTATCAACGGATTCGCAAACAGAAATCGAGCTGCACTCTCATTTCAATCAGAACTTGCTGGCGGATAAGACGGTGATTTGGTGCCGAAAATTTAAAATAGGCTGGCAAAAAATTTTCGCAAAGCTCGACTCCCTCGCAATCGTCCGTCTCGCTCTCTCCAACACTTCGGCACAGACACAACACACGACACACACGCACACACACACAGAAGCGGAGGTCTGGCTGACTGTTGAATTTATCTTGTGTTTCTCGGCAGTTTTGAACTATCCAGCTTCCAGTTTCCGGGTTACTTTTGCAGCGCTGAAGAGACGACGATTTGTGGGAATTTGTGGGCGTCGGCGTTCCGGCTTAATTCTGCTTAATTCATATTCTGGATAAACTATTACTAACGCACCCACACTAGAGACGGAAGTAACCCCGATGATTATGACTTCGACACTTTAAAATCGAAAGTACCCACAACCATCGATATATTTAGCGGAACATCAGTCGAATTATTTAATGACTATGAGTACAATCTGGCAAATTTTAAAATAGGGTAATAAATTAAATAAATTTAGAACTATAAATTACATTGATTTCGACGACGAAACCTGGAATATAAACCCAAAAACATCAATTGATATCGATATATTTACTAAACATTATTGCAAGTGTTGTCGTTTTGTGAGTAGCTCTAAATTGCTGACGTTGCCACCCTTTAATAAACTGTTGGCCAGAGTTTACAATTTGGCTTTTTTTTCGTCACAATTATCATTTATTTTTTCGGAATGGCGCGATTTTTAAACACTGCTGCTATGTTTTATACCTTGGCAGTCTGCCAGTTTATGTTGTGTTACTTAGAAAATAACATGCTTAATATGAAAAGTTTATTAACCCTTTTCCGAAATTTAAATTTCTCACAGCCTTTATCCCTAATAAACTAAAATCATATATTTTCTTACCAAAACCCTAGAAGAGACGAAATATATGTTCCGACCATTAAAAGGTAAAATCACATTAAATTAATGAGTTAAATCCTCCCACCGCCCCAATTCCAAGAATAATTGTTCCAATTTGTATATACAATTATGTATTTTACCAACGAATAAATTACAAATTGTTAGTTGGAAACTCAATAGATCCTTTTCTCCGGAATAAGGTCGTGTAAGAAACAGGAAAAGGAGATGAAAAAAAGCAAAGAAAAGATATGCACTAAGCTCGGTGGTTCTCAACATGTATCATAAAACAGATACTGGTCAGGGATTCTTAGATTGCTAGTCATAAAAATATAATAATACTGCACTGCAAGTGGCTGGAAAGAAAGGCGAAAAGGGTTAAATGATGTCTACAACTAGTTAAATAAAGTAAATATGTATACAAGTTATTTCTACAAATACTTAAAGAAAATGGCATGTGCAGAAGAAATAAATAATAAATGAACCGAGTTGCTCGAAACTTATTAGCGAATACAGGCAAGGAGAACAGGTATTTAATGGGATATATCTATGTACAACAGTCGCTCTCCATAATCTGAACAATAAAAATACAATGAGAAGCAGCTGCGCACCAAACGCACGCATTTGGTCCACAGCCTAGTCGATGTGCTGTACATGGAATTTGCGAGTGTCACTAGTCGTTGCCATCCGATCTCCTAAACCTTGCGAGTGGCCATGTGCGTGGGCAAGCGGTTGCGGGTCCTATTGGCCACACAGGATACATCCATGTTGGTGTATGTTGGATGCATGTTGGCCAAAGTGCGGCGACGCAACGTGCGTGGAGCAGAAGTGCTCGGCTCTGGCGAGATGGAGCGCAATAGACGCCTGCCTGTCGACGGCTCAGTGGAAGTGGACGAAAGGCGGAGCCTCTTCGTCTCAGCCCCGTCATCTTGATCGCTCTTCTCGTTATCGGACTCCTCCACTGTCATTCTGGCTGGCATGGTGCGTCTAGTGCTCATGGTGCGTCTAGTGCGCGTGGTGCGTGCGCGAGAGTGAGAGGTGCGACGCACGTTCGATGGGGACGGCTCAGTGTTTTCCTGGTTATTGAGTGCCGGTGTGGCTGGGGATACAGCAGCTCTAGTAGTAGCGCGAGATGGCCTTGCGGCAGAGGTGCGTGATGCGCGTGAGGTTACAGTTGTTGCTTGCGATCCACGCGGTGTTTCAAATGTTGTGTGAGATCCACGAGATGGCGCAGCAGTTGCGCGTGATCCGGCCGCTGCTAGCGCTGAACGGGTGCTGGAGGATAAAGCGCGTGCCGCCGCCGCAGAAGTAGATGGTTGGTCATCGGAGATGGTCTTCTGCAGCTTGGCATCGACGGCGCGCTGAAAGACGGCATCGTCGTCATCGTCAGATGTGTCGCTGACATCCCAAATGGAGGCGGACAGCTTGAGGTGAATAAGATCACCCTGTTCGCCCGCTGCTAACTGTGTGGCGGCTGTCTCAAATTCAGTTACGTCGATTGAGTCGCCGTCATCCGAGTCCGAATCGACATAGGGAACTGGGTTCGGCAAGACGGGTGCGCAAATGTTGCAGACGTAGTCTTTGTAACTCTGGGTCGTGCAAAAGAAGTGCGACGGGTTGGCACCGCAATTGTTGCAGTACAACAGCGTTGCGGAGGTGTCGTCACGACCAGACACCGCAAAGCACTTTTCGGCCGTGCAAACCAAATCGCGGTGAAACTGATCTACAAAGGCGTCCGGATCCGTCTCCCAGGTGGCGTCTCTGCGGAATACAAGTACTGGTTAGTTGGGGTTAGGTGATCCAGATGTAAGTAGGGGTAACTCACTGGTTCAGCACCGAGATGCCCATCAAAACCACCTTGCGGAACACCTCCAAGTTGTTGCACAGCGGGCACTTGAAGAAGTAGCCGGCCGAATTGGCGTAGCGCTGCAGGCAGTTGCGGTGGAACCATCCATTGCGACAGCACGGCGCGTAGATACAGGTCACCACGCTGAAGCGCTCGCCCACGCCGAGCAGTTCATCTGCGCATATGACACATTCTTCCTTCTTTATGAGCGACGGACGGTGGCGATGCACCAGCACATGCTGATGGCAGTACGATTTGTACGTGTCGCGGAACTGGTTCTGGGCCAGATGATCGACGCCGCATTTGGTGTGAAAGGTGCGGCGGCAGCCCGACTTGCAGCACCCAATATTGGCCCCCAGGCGGCGGCAATAGCAGCACGTTAATGTACGGCAGCGCTTGGCCTCCGCTTCGATGTCCTCCTTGAGGAAGTTCAGTATGCCCAAGTGCTTGTCGCCGCGCTGGATGAGATTCGAGCTGAGGTACTGCCGGCGGAAGGAAGAACGGAGGCGGTTAGAGAGCGAGAGTGTGGGCTTGCGGATGCAGTCTTACCAAGCAGTTGCGGTGCACCATCATCTTGTCCTGCACGTGCACAGTGCCGAAGACCAACTCGTCCTGCTCGCTGCTGCGGCACAGCACGCAATTCTGTACCATAGCTGCGTGCTCGCTGCGTTCCCGGTGGCCAATCCCTCAACTAAAACAGCAGCAGTCGAAAATAACAAATCGAGCTGGAGCCGGGAGAAGCGATTGACTGTTGTCGCGGGCAATTAACGTCAGTTGATCGGGGGCAACCCTGCTGCCAGAGATGCCAGACCACCGTGATTTGATTTGATTTGCGCTTGCACGAATTCACTGCTACCTTAAGAAATATAAATACTTGGAAAATTAGTTGACTGACGATTGGTGTGAATTAGATTGTACAACAATTTCAAGGCAATCCCGATGTCGAAAGACACGTGCGAGTGCAAGGGAACTTTTTCAATAAATTGCCTTGGGAAGTCCCTTCTCCCAAATTAAAGCGAATTTATATGTTTTGGCCCCCATTTGCAATGGAACTAGCCTCACAAAAAAATTAAAACATGAATAGAGCGTTCGGTAGTGGAATTAAAAATGTAGCATGAACTGATTATATCCCTAAACTAGAACGGACTAAAAAGTAAAAAGAAAAATCACCAAAAAACCCAATTTCCAGTTACTCAGTTACTGAATGCCGTAACACGCAGCAATTGAATGCCTTTGTACTTGTTAGCATTTGGTAGGTTTCTAAAAGTCCAATCTGAACAAATTTTGGCAGTTAGACTAATTTTGGCAAATGACACTAACACACTTACGAATACAGACTTACAGACCCACATGGACACATGGACATACCGAGAATTTGATTTGGCTAATGACCACTTCCTTCTACCTGCTACATACCTATGTATATTCTCTCCCTGTTACGCTACGATTACAAAATTATCACTTGCTGTTGCAGCTTAGGTGTGTGAGCCACTTGAATACGAATTCGTGCATATAAGAGACAAATATAAACATTTTGAGAGCAACCCTACTGTCAGAGTTGACAAGCGCCAAGCGCTCGGTTCCGGTTTCCGGTTTTAAGAAGAAAATTCTTGAGAAAATGCGAATAGAATGGAAGTTGGAAAGTCGTTTTTTTTTCGAAATATGTGTATAGGTTAAATGCCTTTGCAAGTATATTTGTGTTCCAATTCTTTGTACAATGCTAATTCTCTATGAAAACTTACCAAAAGAGCGTGGAATTCCCGTCAGTAGTGTTTTGTGTTGTTAATTTTGAAAAAAGGTAAGATTTACTGCTTTATGCGTTCACTTCGGTTCAAAGGGTTTGGTATGAAATTTTTTTAAAAACTTGTAAAAATTACTTTTTTTCAGTTAATTTTTCACTGAGCTGTGTTAATGCTGCTCCGCCGACCTTATTCACATTTATGATATTCCGATTTTGACATTAGACCCAAAGGACTCAAACTTACGATAACTTCGCGAAGAGATGGGAGCTGAAGCAATACATCGATACTTTCAAAGCAAATATTTGTCCACGGCAATTTAATTTTTATTCAGTAAAAGCTAATGAAACTGTTCCACTAGCATTAAAAATGTAATTCCATTAGCATTTAAAGTGTAATTTTAGTAAATATATGCCTTAGTGTTTTTGAATTCACCAGCCGGGTGGCAGCACTGTCGCGTATCGATAGATAAATATACAAATTTCTACCGCAATACATTTATTACAACAATTATGTTGTTGTACAGCCTGAGCACGATGGTAAATGCTTGTAAAATATATACAGAAGCTTCGGTAGAAACTGACCGAGAACCCGGTCATTTTAAATATCCCATCCGGGTGGCAGCACTGTCCTGTACCGATAAGTAAACAAACAAATTTCCGTGCCGCAACAAGTGGATTTGATTTGAAAGAACCTTATTTAAGGAACAATAACGTGTACTATGTCTCTCTCCCGCCTAAACTCTCTGATGAAACTGGCACCCAAGTCCACGGGTAGGTACCGGTGGCTCCGATAATTCGAAATCCATGCGTTTGACATTTGGGTTCGGTTCAAAGTCCGAACACTGGTGAACGAACCTTTGTCTTCAGACTCGGTTGAAATTACACCACTGAATTACACTTCTCGCCAGCCGCCAGATCCCTCCAGATGAAGCCTCAGAGAAACCTCTCGGCCCTCCCAGAATCGGGACCCACCGGTCATTTCAAGACCCTGGCTGTCAGTTCGCCCAAGCCGTTTGTATTCCATGTGGAGCTCCATCGGCCTAGCAAGTTCAACGCCATCAGCAAGCAGATGTGGCTGTGGGTTATCCAATAGCTTTTCGTTACCGTTTCCGCAGAGTGCTAACCTAAGCTGCGTTACGCATTTCCAGGGAGATCAAGGAGTGCTTCGACGGACTGGCCACCAATCCCGACTGCCGGGCCATCGTTCTGTCCGCCGCTGGAAAACACTTCACCGCCGGCATCGACCTCAACGACATGATGAACCTGGGCCAAACGCTGTCCGAAACCGATGACTACGCCCGCAAGGGCGTCATAATGGAGCGCGTGATCAAGGTGTACCAGGACTCGATCAGCAGCCTGGAGCGCTGTCCCAAGCCGGTCATCACGGCGGTGCACAAGGCCTGCATCGGCGCCGGCGTGGACCTGATTACCGCCGCCGACATTCGCTACTGCACCGAGGACGCCTTCTTCCAGGTCAAGGAGGTGGACATCGGTATGGCCGCCGACGTGGGCACCCTGCAGCGTCTGCCCAAGGCAGTGGGCAGTCAGTCCCTCGCCCGAGAACTGTGCTACACTGGGCGCAAGTTCGAGGCTGTCGAGGCCCACTCCTCTGGCCTGGTGAGTCGCCTCTTCCCAGACAAGGAGTCCCTGCTGACCGGAGCCCTGGCCGTGGCCGAGCTCATCGCCAGCAAGAGTCCCGTCGCCGTAAAGACAACTAAGGAGAGCCTCGTCTACTCCCTGGAGCACACCAATCAAGAGGGATTGGATCACATTGTGGGTATCCTCCTATCTCTACAAATTTGCAGGAACTAACCACGCTTGACTCCTTGCAGCTTCTGCTGAACAAGCTCAACCTGCTGTCGGAGGACTTCGCCCAGGCTGTCGCCGCCCAATTGACGAAGGACGATAAGCCCGTGTTCGCCAAGCTGTGATCTGCAATCCGCACAAAAGGAAGAGTCGAACGGCGGAGGATCGAATTTAAAATGTATTTGCCATGTGTGCATTTATAAATACACCATTTGCCTTTACTTTAGGACCCAAATCGGCGCTTGTAGTTGTCGGAAGACTAGGCTTTCTGTCGGCTTATGACTAGGAATTTGGTTTTCTCTGTGAACCCTTACAACACATCGGCGGAGGAGGCGCCGTGGTTCCTCTGTTGCTGTTGGCACAGCTCCTCCAGGGCCCGCGGATCCTTGACGCACGCCTCAGTTAGAACCTCAACGTGGCCGTGCTCGTTGACGAGTAGATCGTCCTCGATGCGGATGCCGATGCCTCGAAACTCGGGCGGCACGTCGCCGCAATCCTGGCCAATGTAGATGCCCGGCTCAACGGTGAAGACCATGCCGGGAACGATGCGCGTGTTGCGGGGCACGTGCGGTGTATCGTGCACGTCCATGCCCAGGTAGTGGGATACGTGGTGCGGGCAGAAGCGGTACCCCTGGCTGGCCAGTTCCTTGTAGCCGCTCACCGACTTGCCCACCAGCCCGATCTCCTGCAGGTACTTTCCCAGCTTGTAGCAGGTGGTCTCGAACAGCTGGTCGAGAGTCTCGCCGCCTGGCTTCATCACAGTGCCAATAATCTCGCCCTGCAGCTGGTGCAGCATGTCGTACAGTGTGCGCTGCGGCTCCGTGAAGTGCCCACTCGCCGGCCAGGTGCGTGTGATATCGCTGGTGTAGCCGCCATACTCGCAGCCTGCGTCCATGAGCACCAGATCCTGCGGCCCCAACACCTGGCTGTTGGCCACGTAGTGGATCACCGTGGCGTTCTGACCAGCAGCCACCACTGGCGGGTAGGCCAGGTAGCTGGCGTTCCGCATTCGGCATTTGTAGTCAATTGCCGCGAACAGATGGTGCTCCGACTGACCTGGCCGCGAATCGGCCATCACCTCGTTGAATGAGCGTGCAGCTATGTCGCAGGTGCGCCGCATCAGCTGCATCTCGGCGCGGGACTTGAGGAGACGCATGGCTTCCAGGAAAGTGTAGGCCGGCAGCAGCGGACGCTGCTGATCGCTGCTCAAACGCAGCATGTCCTCCACCAGTGACGGAAGATCGGAGCTCTTCTGGTCGAACCAGATGTGTGGTTTCAGGGCACCTGCGCGACTCGCCAGCACCGCTTTCAGCTGGGACAGCGGATGGGCCTCAGTGACTCCGAAGAGCGGTACCGCCAGCTCGGACCCAGTGCGCGGACCATCCCAGAGCTCGGCGTGCGGATCCTTGGGACGCATAAACAGCACGGACTGCACGTTTTGGGCATCGTCAATGGTCAGCAGGAGAACGGCGTCCGGCTCTAGGCAGCCAGTGAGGTAGTAGAAGTCTGAGTTCTGGCGGAACACATATGGGATCTTGCCGCTCATATACTTCTTGGAGGCGGCGCCCAGAACGAGCTATAAAAGATGCAAGTTAGGGATCTTGGGTTTCTCTGTGTGGACCAGACCGGAGATCCTCACCATGTGGCAGGGGCTGGAGTGCCCATTGAACTCGCCGCCGAAGCTGCGCGCATAGGCACGGATGTTTTGCATCAGCTGCGAGCGGCGCTTCTCGAACTCGGCCAGCTCCACACCCGGAACCAGCTCGTGTGGCTGGATAAGGTGTGGATGCGATACGCTTGTAGGCTGTCCCAGGTTGCCCTTTTGCTGGCGCAGGATCTGAGCCACTCCGCGCACCTCGTCCGCGTTCACTGTAGAGTTGGTGCTGGGACTTCCTGGTGAGCTCGTTATGGATTGGGTCATCCGGCGGTGTGGCCAAAAGCTCGTGGAAATGGCGGCGCTGCGGCGGGCGGTGGGGGCGATCAGGCGGTCCAGGCGCCTTAGGACATTCATCGTGCTTCCGGTTCTCGGGTTGCCAACTAAAATCTACACTATATTTCACACAAAAGAAAACCGAACTGACAAAAACAATAACGATCCTGCATAAAAACAAACTACCAGGGTTGCCAGACGGTTGGGTATCAAGTGTCCCGCCGATTGACAGGTGTCGATAAGTATCGTAGTAAAATTATTCGAAAATATAAATGTAGTTTCCCTTTACCTTCAGAAGTTTCCCAAAAACCTGGGTAATTTAAAATTTTAGGAGTCCTCGTCTTACATAAACTAATAAACTAACTGAAGTAGAAACAACTGGATCGATTTCGCCCCAAAGCATTCAAATATGCCACTACAATCGAAAAATCCTCCATAGTACCGCCGCTAAGCTTCGGATGTAATCGATATTAGCATCCCCAACATAAAAACAAAGATTTTTAACTGGATAAATAGAGAGCTTTGTAACGGGATTTTCGATTTTGACAGACGCTCTAAAATCTTTTAGCATATCTAGAGAATGTCGAGCGAGGTATGTGGTGGTATTACCCATTTCCAATGGCCAAACACTCAATGTATTCCCCGCCTGCAGTGCTTTGTGCCCCGGCTGCCGGTGGACAGCGAGTCCATCCAGTTCCACGACTGGGCCATCAGCTACGAGAAGTCGCACATCCTGAAGAGCAGCTGCAAACTGGGCACCGACGAGTGCTGCCCCAAGGACTCTGCCGACCGCTGCGATCTCTGCCACTACCAAGACTCCCTGCAGCTGCCCCACCTGCCCGACATGGTGTTTCACAAGAACCAGCTGGTGCTGAAGCACAAGGACGGCGCCGTTCTCGAGTTCCGTCCCATGGAGGCGTTGGCGCTGGTGGACAATGGAAAGCAGCCGCTGGAGGTCGCATGTGCCCAGGAGTGGCGGGAAACCCGGTGGGTACTTAACTATGTGTGCTTGATTGGGAACACATATATCACCAGTTTGTTCCCCCTAGATCCTCTTAGTCGTGCTGAGTAACTCGCCCTAATGATTAAATTCTATTTGCCAGCAACGAGCAGACAATGGAGGAGAAGTTCAAGCCTTTCGACTGGACATTTACCTCCACCTACCAGGGCACTATGAACGAAAAGGTGCGGTCGGAGGAGACGGATCAGACACTGAACAAGTTCAAGCTGATGCAGCGCGAGAACATCATATTCTACCACGATTTAACCCTGTTCGAGGACGAGCTGCACGACCACGGGATCTCTGTGATGAGCGTGCGCATCGTAAGTGGTCCTTGTATATACAAATTATAGAGCCCTTTTTCAAGAAACACGCCTCTTTCTGGCACAGCGCGTGATGCCCTCTGGATTCTTCATCCTTCTGCGCCATTTTCTGCGCGTGGACGATGTGCTAATCCGGATGCACGACACCCGCTTCCACCACGAGATCGAGAACGACTTCATCCTGAAAGAGTACATCCATCGGGAGGCGCCCTGCACAGAGCTTCAGAGCTCGGTGGCCTTCTGGACCAATCCGGATGAAATGCAAAACTTTGTGCCCGTTAAGACCAGGCAGCTGCACAAGCTCTTCTTTAAGTAGTCCCGATGTCCAAAAATCTCTAGGCTTATGCCAGGCTTCTAATTGGTTAGAACTGCTGCTATATACGTTTATTTATTGCCAACAGTGTGCGCGTGCGCAGACGACATTAAAAGCGATTTTCCTAAAAGGCACACTACGAGTAATGCTATTAATATGAATACGTTGTTGGGCGGACCAGCTGCCACATCCTCGCGTCTAGGCGGATCCAAGTAGGGCAGTCAGCGCCTGCTTGTAGTCACCGGAGGTCTCCGCCTGGAAAGTAAAGAAAGTACCGTATTGGAGCGAGATCCAAGTTATGGCTAATCCCATGCCCTCTACACTACAATTACTACTTCGCCTAAGAATACTTATTCGCAAGCCAATGAGATTTTGAAAAATTTACGAGAGCCAGTTTGCTTCAGGGATAATTTGGTGAGTTCTTAGAAATGATTTGGTGTGGATTTTGGCAGCATATGTAGCGTAAAAGGAGCACTTGATACCGAGAAGTAACCAAGACCAGGAATACATCCGTTTCACCAATGGAGTGGCCAATACTTACGTCCTAGGACAACACAAACACCGCAACAAATACCAACAAGTAAGTGAAGAAAAGGGGAAAGGGATGCGTTAACCATGTGCGAAGCACTTGCGATCGTCGCAAGATCCACTTACCACCACGGCGCTGTGCAGCGTACGATTGTAGATCCGCTCGAACTCCTGCTTAATGGTCTCCAGGTCGATCTCCGAGCGGCTGACGATGATGCGGATGAGCGTGGCGTCATCTGTGCCCGCACCATTCATGGCCTTGTACAGGCGGTTGGCGAAGAAGGCCGCCGGTGACTGGACGCACTCAACTGAAAGTTTAAGGAGTGGATGAGGAGGAGACTTGAGTAAGCCGCAAATTCTTCAGCAAGTTATAGAGTAATAGAGAAATATACTGACCTATTGCCATCATGGCCTCGTGCAGCTCGTCGGACATCTCGTGCTTGATGGCCTGCTCGATGGTCTGCCCGGAGAGCTCCTTGTACTCCTCGAAGACGAGTCGCAGCTGCGGGAAGCTAGCGTGCGACATGATCCGGTTGAAGACCTCCTCGTCCGTTCCCAGCTTGGCCTCGCCGGCAGAGTAGAGCTGGGCGGCCTGCTCCTTGGCCTGGTCGGCGTCGACGGGCGTGTCCAGTCCGTCGCGGACTCCGGTCACGATCAGCGTGAGCAGGCGGCGGAAGAAGCCGGAGGTCTCGCTGCACATCTGCTCGGCCAGCGGGCGCTGATAGCGCTCCTCGTAGATGGCCACAATTTGGGCCATCTCCTCGTTGGTTTTGGTGCACAGGATCTCCACGAGCGTTGCCTCCTCGGTTCCGATGCCTGCCATGGAGGCGTGCAGTTGCTTGCACAGGTACTCCACCGGAGGCATCATCAGACCCACGATCACGTCCTCAAACTTGCCCCCCAGCTCGTCCTTCAAATCGTCCACCAGGTCACGCTCGAACTCCGCCTCGTAAACCGCCTTGATCGTCTGCCTCTGCTGGTTGCTCCTGCCGACGAGCACAGCGATGATCTCCTGCTCGTCGGTGCCGAATCCCTTCATCGCCGCCCGCAGCACCTGGGCGTCCTGGGAGGCGTCGAAGGGAGCTGCATCCTTAACCGTGGGCACGGGCTGGGCGGTGATAATTAAGTTGAT